TAACATATTTTCTAGTCATGTTTTTTTGGGTTTTTTTACCAATCATTCGAGACCCTCATGGGTAGTCAAGGTCTTTAAAAAGCCCTGTAGTAGAAGAAGTAGTCATGTTTCCATATTTCTGATGGTAGTTCTCTTTGATCTTTGATATGCAATTAGTGGTTTTCTTAAGTCCATCTACCGGTAGCTTAATTACTAGAACTTGGCATTGATGCTGGATCTTTGATTCTCTCAATTGAATTCAAACACAGTTTGATGCAAATGTTATATCGTATTCGGCTTTGAACTTTGAGTGGCCCTGATGAGGTATATTGTAGAAATTTGTGTCATACACACTAAAATTGTTACCATTAGTTTATTTTGTTTATATGAACTGGATAGTTAGGTGTTTGCCATACCGCCTTGTCACCACAGCTTAGCATTTGCCATACCGCCTTGTCACCACAGCTAAGTGTTTGCCATACCACCTTGTCACCACAGCTTAGTGTTTGCCATACCGCCTTGTCACCACAGCTTAGTGTTCTGCCTCCCCATCATCATGCAGGTTTGCCATACCACCTTGTCACCACAGCTTAGTGTTTGCCATACCACCTTGTCACCACAGCTTAGTGTTTGCCATACTGCCTTGTCACCACAGCTTAGTATTTGCCATACCACCTTGTCACCACAGCTTAGTGTTTGCCATACCACCTTGTCACCACAGCTTAGTGTTTGCCCTACCGCCTTTTCACCACAGCTTAGTGTTTGCCATACCGCCTTGTCACCACAGCTTAGTGTTTGCCATATCACCTTGTCACCACAGCTTAGTGTTTGCCATACCACCTTGTCACCACAGCTTAGTGTTCTGCCTCCCCAGCATCATGCAGGTTTGCCATATCTGTAGAGAGTGAAATCTACACCCACTTTTCACCTGCGGATCTAATGGTGTTTTGGTCACCTTTGTCATTGGGCCCTGTACCTTGATTTGGTGAGCAATGATCCAACAATGTAAATACCACTGAATGCCAATGAAACAACAATCCACTAGAGTTCAAATGAAGAAGAAATTATCAATTATAGGTCACTGTACCGCCTTCAACAATGAGAAAATCCTACCATATAGTTAACTATAAAAGGCCCCTACATGAAAAATGTGAAAGAATTCAAACATGAAAACTAATGGCCTAATTTATAACAATACAATAAATGAAAAACAAATAAGGTCATCTCTAGATTTTCATTTTTTGTGAACCTGTGTTGTTGATTTGCTGTTTCATTGGATTAACCGACATCTGAGTCAAAAGATTAGTCAACTATTTATAGATATGTAAAAATAGTCACAATTTCTTTAACTTTCTCTCTTTTTTTGTTTGATTGTTGCTTTTTGACTTGGATAATGATGATTATTCATTAAAAGCAAAGGAAACAAGTTTATAAAAAGGGAAACAAACTAGTAGATGTGTCTTGATAAAGTTTCCTTCAAATCAGGAAGCTGCACTTATAACAGGATGTATATAACATGTTTGTTAAAATAAGAAAGTGTAAGTTTTTACGAGGTTGCAGTTAATTTACTGTTCTACAATGGGTAAGTTCTTAGTCTAAATTTAACAGAAAATTTTAGAAAATTTAAATATTTTACTGTATTTACAAATTATAAAAATTTGCAAATTTTTCGACTACTGTGGATTCGTTTATTTTCGTGGGTACCAATGTTCATGGATTGAGGAAACTTGCATTTTCGTGGATATTTGATTTCGTGGTTTTGCCATACTTGGCATACATAGCCTATAGAAAATTTGTAATTCGTTGTACATTTGAATTCATGGTTCACCTACCTGTACCCACGAAAATTGGTATCCAACGAATAAAAATGAATCCACAGTGTTGTGGATTCATTTATTTTTCGTGGGTACCAATATTCATGGATTGAGGAAAAGTCGTAATTTGGTAGATATTTGATTTCATGCTTATATCTATAGCCAAAGTCTGCATACAATATCAAAATAAGGAGATGAGGTATGATTGCCAATGAGACAACTATCCACCACAGCTCAAATGAAGTGGATGTAAGCAATTATAGGCAACCATACAGCCTTCAACAATGAGAAGCCTAGAGAAAATTTGTACTTTGTTGAACATTTAAAATCATCGTTCACCTATACCCACTAAATCCACGAGAATTGGTATCCAGCAAATGATAATGAATTCTCATTAACCAGAAAATTAAATATTTTACTGTGAAACAAAGAATGCAACATTTAACAAAAATTTCAGATAATGAATTTTAGAATTTTATTTTAAGCACTATGGCAGCATGACTCACTACCATCTATCATATGTTAGTTGATTGATTGATTTATTGATTGTCCTTTGGTTATCATCTTTTGTCAAACATTTGATATTCAGGATTAGAAAAAATTGACAATGAATCCTAATTAATAGATTAGGTTTTACCCATTGTTGAAGGCCATAGAGTGACCTATAGTTGTTCATTTGTTCTCTTATGGAGAGTTGTCTCATTGGCAATCATATCACATCTTCTTATTTTAATATTATTCTGTAAAGTTGAGCAACAAGGATGAAGGGATGGGAGATTTCAGACTGTCACTGGAAAAGGGGATATTTTTGATGGGGTGGAAGATTTTGTTTTGCAACAAGCCACTTGCAGTCTCCTCCGTGCATAGGATAGGTTTGCCTGTATTTTGTAACAGATATAAGGGATATACTAAATGTATATTAATTCAGTCCACAATTACCCTATGCACATTGAAATTTCAAAGCGATTAGGAACAGAGCTTTTTTCAAATTTTTGCTGTTCTTCATCTCAAAGCATCTAACCTTTAAAACTCTGAGCCAATGATTACACCTAAGATGTCCCCAATGATTACACCTAAGATGTCCCCAACCACCTCAGTTCAGATTTTAAGGAATTGTTTCGATGTGTGGTGCTCTTAAGTTATGGTACCAGATTTCTTGTGAAATAGTCAGATCAATTTGACAGTGGATGTATAATAAATAGATCGATTTTAAACTGAATTGTCACATAAAACCATTCAACTTAAAACACTGTCATGACTGTACTCTAATGGAAAGGTTGGTTGGATAAATCTGATACAAACTGATCTTCAAATCTGTTCGAATTGATGATCATATGAATAATTGATTATGTTTTATTGAAAACCGCTGATTAATGGCATGTACATAAATATTCAAGGATCATGATGTTTGGAAATTTTTTTTGAATTTTAATTGGAAATTGTGATGATTGAACACTAAAATCTCTGACTTTTAAGTGAGGTGCTCCCAGCGCTTTTATGTTTTTCGGTAAAGTTTGATTAATTACAGTACCTAATGTACCGTGATTAAAAGTACATTTGTGGGGGTGTTAGCCTATTATAATATTATTTTGTGAAATTAAGTCCTGATATATTTCAAATCATCCTTATCTCTCTGTTCTGTCAAATAAAAGTAAAAAATAGTAATTCATGATTCATAATTTCAGACAAAGTTCACAAAAGTAATCTGATAAAAAGTTGTAACTATGATGACAGTATCATTTTGCCTATGGTAGCTTTTGGTTGTTTGGAAAAAAATTGGTGTCAATTATCTTTAAATGGAATAATCTGTAGCGAAAATTGGTTCGCCTAACTTAGACAGTCTAGATTGCCTATATTACCCACTCCATGTGGTTGACTCTCTCACTTGCCAGAGATCAGCAGAATATAATGTCTGATTTGTTTGGGTCATAGATCTAGAATGCCATGAATTTACCAAACTGCTGACAAGCAAGAAGTTATTAAAAAAGTATTTCACAAAAAAAAAAAAAACATTTAAAGGAACAGGGAAATATTCAGTTATTTGAAAACGTTAAGGCCAGACCAAATTATTATGTTATTTTTTGTAAAAAAAAATCTTAAAAAATTCAATTTGTATTCAAATTCATTGCCTCCTTTTTATAATTTTTAATTTTCAAATTCAGATAATCCCTTAATACCTTTTAAAAATGGTCATAAACAGAATTTTGAAATATGAAATATGATATTGAGTGTTACAACTATAATACCTCAGCATATTTTAGCCTACTAAGTTAGTATTTGTAAAATTAAAGAAAAAAAACAGCATATTGATATGATCTGGCCTCTAAGGATATACATGTAAGTATTTCAGGTTAAACATGATTCAGATAATTATAGCACATTTGTCTCTTAGTGGTTTGAACTTTATTCATTGGACAAAGAAAGGGAAGAATTTCAATTTTCTCATAATGTTCTTGAGACTAAACAATTGAGAAACAGGACGGAAACATTGAATACATTTTTTAGTTGACTGAGTATGTTTTTCCTGCCCTTTATTATCTGTAATTTGTTGATATCATTCTCTGATTCACAGTAGTAGCTTTATCGACTTCAAGTGAAGATGAAGAATTGTGGAAGGGTTACATAGAACTTACAGAGAGAGAGGTGTGAGTTTTCTCTTTGCTTAACTTCAGGACTTACTGTGAATCGATATGTTGAAAAGCAAAACACCTTACCCAAATCTGCTTTGGGTTTTGTTTAGAGAGTGAAAGAAAAATCTTTTTTAAAACACCATGTTCCTTCATTCTCAATGATGTACATAATAACAATTGTACTGTGGATTCATTATTATTTGTGGGAAACTAATTTTCGTGGGTAAAGGTAAACCAAGTAAAGAATTTTAATGTTCAATGAAGTAAACATTTTCTCTATGCTTTGCTTATTGTTGAAGGCCGTACGGTGACTTATAGTTGTTAATTTCTGTGGCATTTGGTCTCTTGTGAAGAGTTGTCTCATTGGCAATCATACCACATCTTCTTTTTTATATTGTATGCAGACTTTGGCAAAACAACGCAATTGAATATCCACGAAAATGCAATTTTTCACAATCCACCAAAAATTGGAATCCACGAAAATTAAAGAATCCACAGAATATAAATAATAAGAATCATATCAGATATTGTTGAGTTTATTTTCACGATTTTAAACTATTTTATTTTCTATTTTTAGCTATGATGTCATCAACCCTTGTCGAGACTGTATCTATTAACTATGAAGATTTTAATGATAGTTTCCTGACATGTGGGACCTGTTTGTGTGTATACGATAACATTGAACACTCTCCAAAACTACTACCATGCTCTCATACAGTCTGTCGCAGTTGTCTTGACAGAATTGTTGAATCTCAAATACATGACACAGGGTACTTTCGTTGTCCAATCTGCCGAGAACACATAGGAATTCCACGATCTGGAGTAGCGACATTTCCTCCAAGCTTTCTGGTCAATCAGTTATTGGATCTCATGTCGAGACAAAGACGAGATGTTATACCAAAGTGTTCAACTCATAACAACCAAGAACTTCTCTTTTGTGAGACTTGTGATTCCGTATTTTGTACTCTTTGTGCAGGTGGGGAGCATAATGGCCGTGGGGCAAGTGAACATACGGTAATTCCCTTTTCTATTGCCATTAAAAGAATGTCGGAAATTTTACTATACAAAGCACATTTGTGCATAAAAAATCTGAATCATGCTTACGACACTGTTTCTAGTGAAATGCAGAATTTAGAATCATCAGTAGAGAAGACTATCGAAGGTATAAATAGATCATTCCAAGATCTCATCGCATTGGTTGATAAAAGGAGACACGAATGCTTACAGTGGGTGAGAAAAATACGGGAAGAGAAACGCAAGAACTTACGAGAACAATTAGAGATTATTCAGGCAGAGAAAGAAAAAGTTCAGTCTGAATGTGACGGGCTGCAATATCAAGTAGAAGTTAGAAACATAACCAAAAAAATAGGTGATTTGAATGAGAAGCTAGATGCAACTTCGAATCTTTCAGAACCACGGGAAAACTCATTCTTGAAATATGAGTATAGACATAACTCGGCACTAAAAGATATAACAAGGTTATTGAATGATTTTGGGAGGATCAAAACCAGTACAACATTCCCCGCTCTCTGCTCAGGGAAAATTGGAGAGGCTGTTACACATTTAAAATCAACTGTTACTCTATTGACAGTTGATTACCATGGAAATCCTCGTACAAGTGGGGCAGATCCAGTTGGTGCAGAGGTCAGGACAGACAAGGGAGAAATCATTGAATCAAAAATTCGGGACAAAGAAAATGGAACATACGAAATACAATATGTACCCACAAAGCCGGGTAAAGTGAAAATGTTCATCAGTATTTTTAATCGCCCTGTCAAGGGAAGTCCTTTTGTGATTGATGTCTCTGAACACAATAATCCAGTAATGAAATTCGGCTCTTTGGGGAAGGGAGAGGAGCATTTACGACAGCCAGTTAGGGTGGTTACAAATAATGATAATAACACTGTGTATGCTTTAGATACTGGCAATTGTAGGATCAAATGTCTTGACAATACTGGGCAATTTAAAAGCCATATAGGACCGTTAGGATTAGAAAGTTCTGGAGGTACGGGTCTCGCTCTGACGCCAGAGAAAAACTTGGCTGTAATAAATTGGAGAACTAAATTAGTAACTGTGATGACGCCTGATGGAGATCCTCTCTCCAAATTTACACATCAGGACTTTATGGAACCAATAGATATAGCCGTTAATAGTCGAGGGGAGATAATCGTGGCGGACAATGGAGCAAACCGTGTATTCATGTTTGATCCCAATGGCAAACTTTTGACAACATTTGGCGGGAAAGGAAGTAAAGAAGGACAGTTTAAACTTATTTGTGCCATAGTCATAGGAAAATGTGATGAAATCCTTGTTGCTGATCACCGAGTTCAAATTTTTAGCCGTGATGGGAAATTTTCCCGTGTGATACCTGACCAAGGAAGAGGTCAGTTTTGTGGATTGAATGTGGATTCTGGTGGTTTGATTCTTGCCACCAAAACAGAGAAAACCCAGAGCTATGTTCAAGTTTTGAATTCCAGTGGTCGACTTATGTTTAATATTGATAGCCACCATGACAAACTGAAGCGACCAAGTGGGCTGGCAACCACAACCGACCACCATGTTTATGTGGCTGACCTTGGCAACCACTGTATCAAAAAGTATCGTTACAAATAAGGTATATACATTTCTGATACATATGTAAAAATGACGAATATACAATCAAACTATTTTTGTGGTTTTACAGATAATTAAGTAATTTAGTTTAATTTCTAAAAGATAGGAAAAAGGTGCAGAATAAACAATATAAAAATGGCAGTCAAAAGATAATATACATAAACAAGAAAAATCAAAAGAATCGTGGCATTGGGCATACTCTGTTTAAATGCCTACACAAGCATGGAAAGACACATACCATGCATGCTCAGTGAAAGTGATGTAAACTTAATTTTTGGTGGGAAAAAAAAAATGAAAGTCATGTGAGTTACTCCAATGCAAATTGGTGCACTTAAATTTGTAATCCTACTTTTTCATGTCCCTGCAGGGGAAATTATAAAATGTGAGTTCTTACATGTCTTAGGATCAAAGTCATTTAAAATCCTTTCACAATTTTTTTTTTTTTAATTTTATCCTGTAATTATTTGCCAGCTTTTGTAAATGAACTGCTAGAAGAAAATTTCTTTGCATCTTAATATTTTTGTGAATACAAAAAAAAATGTATTGGTAGCCTATTCATACATTAGTTGGTTTTGAGTCACATTGAGTCATGTGCAAGGAATTTTTTTTTTTAAACTATGCACCATGTTTAATAAAAGGATTATCTTTATTTCATCTGCTTCCTTATATACATTGTTGAATACTTCGTATACAGTCAAAAATTAAATGAATTGAATGCAAATTGACATGACATCCTTGTTCCTTGCATTTAAAGGACATACATGATATTACGGAGCTACCATTTGATTTTTATGGGGCTAGGATGAAAATTTTTATTAGTTGTAATCTCTGTCCTGCCTTTTTATTTTTCACTCTATTTGGTCCTGCTTTTTTTTTTGTTAGTTTATCCTTACTTTTTTTACATAAATTGTTATCCTGCCTTTTTTTTTTTTTTTTTGCCAAATTGATCATCCTGCCTTTTTTTTACTCAAAACTCCTGTCCTGCCTTTTTTTTTCAAATTTCATCCTAGCAATCCCCCCCCCCCCCCCCCCCCCCCCCCCCCATAAAAATAAAAGGGTAGCTCCCTTATAGCAACAATAAAAAGAATTTGAACACTACACATTTTGCTTATACATAGTATTGTCATGATTGTGGAACATAGTAAGCCATTAGGTATCAACTTCCCTCAAAGTTTTGGGTACCAGGGGCGGATTCATGAATTTTGAAAGGGGGTGTAGATACAGAAAATGGAATATATTCCACCAAGCAGAACAAAGGACTATTATTTGCCAAAAAAAGATAAACTTTCTCATTAGAGGGGCGCAAACGTCCTCTAGGCTGCCCCCTCCTGATTCCACCACTAGGTACATGAATAACAATAGCACTGCTATTCTGAATCAAAGTTTCCTTTAAACAGCAATTCTTCTTTCTCTAACTATGAAAATTAATTGATACCAACTATAAAGGATGATATGAATAAAATGTATTGATTTTCTTGGTATATAAATTTCACAGATATGCTTGTCACCTTGTGCTTTCTGACACAAATCTGGTTATTGATTTGGGGTAGGGGTGGGTATGTAGACAGGCAGGTGGCAATGTGGACAGCAGCTCCAACTGTTTATGTGCAAATGTTTATGAACTTTTCAGTTCAACTAATTTACAAATTTTAATGTATTGTTACAGTCATACTGATAACAAAATGGAGGTCTAGTTAGATATATAGATGATTTTCACTTTTTAGTAATCAGGATTTTTTTGTCTTTGATTGAGATAATGTTTTTGGACAAGTAAGACTTGTCTAACCCTGCTACATTTTGTACCTGTACCATGTCAGGCTACCTTTACTGTCATGTGTTGTTTGTACTTGTCTATTTTTCAGAGGTATTGGTGGATGGTATCTTGTGCTGTCCAATATTTTTGGTAATTTCTGTTATCCTTTTTACATATTATAAAACTATAGACACATCCATTCCACCATCCATACCAGTCAAAAATTTTGAATGATTTTACATAGAATGTTTACTAAAAATAATATAAATACACAAAAGTTGCAATGAAACAAGGGTTATTTGGCAATCAAAAGGGGGATGTACACCCTCTATTAATCGTCCCTGGATTCGTCTCTGCCTACCACTTACATATAGATTAATAATAGTTAATAAGTAACTTATGGATAGTAAAACAAATGAGTGTCAAGTAATGTGTAAAGAGAGATAACTCTTGTCCATTTCTATAACTCTTCCAGGCTTATTTGTATATTATTGTATTTTCAGAATTCTACAATTTAATAGACACAGGACACAAAGAGAAGAGTAAAAGACATGACAGACAGAATGACAGTGGCCAAACAGAACCAATTAAAATCAAAATGACAACAGTACGCTGATGACCAATGTGCAATGTCCATTTTTCATTGTAAAGCCATGCATTTTTTTCACCTTCTTTGGCCAGTTGTAAGCCATTTGAGACCATAAATGATTAGTTTCACCTAGTTTTGTTAAAATTTTTATTATATTTGATTTAGCCATTTATTTATTGTTCTTTGAAATATTTTTACAGCTGAACCACTTGAGTGTGTGCTTTGTGTATAAAAGTTAAGTTTTCTGGTGTGTTAGGTTAACCTTGAAATTGTAAAAATAGATAAAAATAGATTTCTCAGTCATTCTTTTGTTTTCAGTCCCATGACTAGAAATAACTTATGTAATCCTTTCAAGAGGGAACTATGGGTAATATGAATTTTAGGGTTTACCTAGCAGACATGAAGACTTCACATTTTTGTCCTTGTACACACTCAAAGTATATTTGCTGTAAATGAATAATTTTCTTTTCTGTATTGTTAATGATTTAAAATGGTGCAGACCTTTAAAGAATTTCTCCTTTTACAGTTTGAAAATAGTTTAGAAACACTCTGTTGTGCTCATATTCAATTTTTTTTTTAAATTTAAAAGTATTTTCAAAAAGATTAGGAATAAGGTTTGGACAGTTTTTAATGAAAAAGACATTTAGAGGAAATATCCATAAAGAAGAGTTTTGAGTTACATGTTACTTAAAGGGGTCATCCATAATTGTCAACCATTTTCCAAAGTGTACAAAACATACACTTTCTCAGACCCCCCACCCTCCCTCAAAAAGTGTACATTGACCATTTTCAGATTTCAAGACAAGAATCAATCATTCTTAATAAAAAGAAGATCTATTACAATTTAGTTTAAGATAGAAATTTGCAATGAAAATAAACTGAAACACATCTGACTGTTTTATTTGATGACATCTATCTGTGATGCTTGTGTTTTGTCAGAATAAATAGTATAAAGATACCGTTTTGTTTGTTTTTGTTTGTTTTAATGAATGGGAAAAAATTCCGGAAATAAAAAAAAAAAGCGTACCGTAAAAATGTTGATTTTTTAACCCCCTCCCCCCAAGTGTACATTTTGTACACTTTGGATAATGGTTGACAATTATGGATGACCCCTAACTTTCAAGGAAAGTAAAACAGACTTGTATTGAAACATGAAAAGAGAAGAAAAAAAAATAGTTAAAAAATTTTTCAGGGTACATAGAAAAAATGTTTTGTAATATATGATAAATTAAGTTTTTTCTCCTTATGATAAAGGAGACAGAAAATATTATATTATATAAATCATTATCAGGATATTATGATTATATTTTTATCAGGAATTAATGTGATAAAACAGAAAACAAAATATAAGGATTATTCCATTTAAATGAATGGGGGAGTGTAGGAAAGGTTTATGGTATGGAACCACTAATTCAGGCCCAGTCAGAAAGAACATACAAGAAAGTAGTACATATTTTAAACAAAATAGTTCCTACGCATAGCTGTAACTTTGTCATTAAGTAAAATATTTAGGTAATTTTGGCATCAAATGAAAGCTTAAGGAATTGGTATCACTGTAGAATCCTTGTTATAAATTTTTTTTTAAATAACAAAAGATGTATGGAATTAAGATAGGAGGGCATAATCCCCTGTTGCTCAGATCAGAAGTACCTGTTTTTGTACTACCCAACTTTCCGGAACCTATGCACTCTAATATATGCAATTAAAGGTATATTGATTTTTTCAGCATAAGTCAGGATAAGGTATAGTTTTGACATGAAATGACTATCACTTTATTTAAACTTAATATAAAATAGCTATGAATGCCTGAAGTTGCAGAATTTAACATAGAAAGCAAGGGGCTATGAATTAGTGGTGTTATTCTTTATAGCAGTATGTCCACTGACCTCAAAGACAGTACTGTATGTTGGTTGTTCATTCCTACGTTGCAGGAAGGCATCACTGTAAAAAATAAAGATAGCCTGTCAAGAGGTCATTATAATTTGGACTGTTGGTAGCCAGTCCTACCCGCCTGCATCTATTTTAATGGAATAGCCTGTATTCAGTGTACAGTGTATCTGTAACTAATTGAAATACTTTTTATGTTAAAAAGAATTTTTTTTATTTACAATTTCTCTTTTCCTTACATTTTATTGATTGCATTTTTTTATCTTATTGGCATAATTCTGTTTGCATGTGACAATCAGCATTTAACATCATATCTTAAAAATCATGTGGCTTAACATACAAAGAGAGATAACTCTTATTTGAAATTACTAACTTTGTCAGCAGTGGTAATTTTGTCATATATTCTTCCTTCAAATGTGCTTTTCTCAGTATTGTGATAGTATTAACCACTGTTCTGGTGTTTTTTCGTAGAGAGTGGATATGAAAGTGCATGTTAAGAATGAAAGATTCAATTTCAGTATTTTTTTTAAGCATTTTGTTTCTTCAAAAAATAAATCCTTGTACATGTACATGATTTCCATAGAGTTCTGGTGTTTGATAGCATGAATTTTCTGCAGTTGTTTATTTTTCATTTTTGTGCAAATGATTAATGTAATGGCATTGAAAAAAGTAAGTTAAAATGTAGTCTTCAAGAAAAACTAACAAGCCAGAAAAAATCTGTATTTTGTTCAAATATTTTATTTATATTTATATTGCTTGTGAAGCCTCTTTTCAGGAAAATTTTACTGGCCCAACTACATTTTTACTGGCCTAGACCATAGCAATTTTTGTTAAAGGTGAAAACTGAAAATAGTTTTTATTGCACAAGCTTTATAAAATTCTAAATTTGATTTTATTTTGAGCTTGAATATTTTTTAAAAAACCATTTGAAAACAGCTGTGCAAGATTCAAGAATGAGGCTAAAGGAAGATTAACTGTGAAAATGTTTTGCCTAAAAAAATCTTCTCTGTCTTTGTATTCTCAAAGGAAGAAATCTCATTCTACATGAGTTTGTGGCATAACTGTATATATGATGAATTTTAGTGAAAAGAAATTTTGTTCTTTTATCTTTATTTATAGTCATCATGACAAAATTGCCTGTAAGCAGGCAAACCTTTTTTTTATCTATTGTATTGGAATGTATGAAAAGGCTTTTTTTTTTCCAAACATACAAATATGTTATATTGATGGAAAAAAGGGATTTGATAGGAGTGATAGCTCAATACTTTTTTGTGACGCAATATTTCATTAACAATAGAAAATTTATGCAATGTACTTAAAGAATTATAAGTTTATGCAGATTGTTTTTGTGTTCATGTATATTTTATATATACTCTAGCACTGAGTGGGTGTTAACATCATATCATGAGTGAGTAGTTATTTATTTTTTAAGTAGCCGAATCAACATCTCACAACAAATCAGACGTAGGGTTAAATTGACAGTTTTATATTATCTTTTTTTTTAATTTCCAAGAAGGATAAAGTTTTAATTTGAGTTCTCTAAAAATAAATGATTAGTAAAATTGCATACTGTGGATTCATTTATTTTTCGTGTGTACCAATTTTCGTGGATTGTTGAAAAATTGTGTTTTCATGGATATTTGATTTCGTGGTTTTGCGAATGTCTGCATATAAGCTTATAGAAAATTTCTACTTCGTTGAGTATTGAAATTCGTGGTTCACCTAAACTCACTAAATCCACAAAAATTGGTATCCCTCGAATAATAATGATTCCATGGTAAAATGAACACAAAAAAAATCATTGTTATCTGAAGTCTTCATTTATGTGCATCTGTAATGATATGGGTTATCTTTATTGATATACTGAATTACTAATTAGCAAAAAGATGAGTTTTCTACTCACAAAAAATATTGATCTTTAAAGTACATGTAGTGCAACAGTCTATTTTTTAGAAAATTCAATTGTTTATGTTTTAAATGCTGTATCCTTGTCATTTGCTGAGATATAAAAGTCAGATGAGGGTCTGGATGGGGTTTACAGTATAGAGAATAATGGAACAAGAGTACAGAAAATGGACCAAAAAAATAAAAAATAGACCAAAATAATAAATAATAAAGAAAAAAAGGACGCTTAGATATAAAGAATAGAGAATAATGGACAAAATAACTAAAGAATAGAGTAAAAAGGTCTAAACAATTAAAGAATACAGAATTGAAGGACCCCCCTCATCCAGACCCTCACAAATGAGGTACTGAAAAAAGTAGGATCGATGAGCTACTGCTGAAATACACTATTACTTATATAACCAATAATGAAATACTAGACAAATGCCATATAAAGAGAAAATTTGAATATTTTTCGTAACTTCCTATTTTCGTATTAAGCACTTTCACTTTTGTAGCAACCAAGTAGTTTTATTTTGCATAAATAAAGCACAGGAAACATAACTCCAGAACTGTGTCTCAGATTTTTACTATTATGGGATATATAGTGACTGGATCTATTTTCGTTCGAAAGAACTTATAAATCACAAATATGCAAAAGTGTATTATTTTTAGAATGGACTCTTTTCACAGAAAAACTTATGATGATAATAATACAGAAATGTCAATGCCTAACAAGTACATTTTCTCGTAAGATGTTTTGTGAAATGAGTCACTGGACCTTATGTTGAAAATCTGAGACAAGGTTTAGTTTTGCATTTTATAATAAAACAGCATACATTTAGTATCTCTTTCGCTGTGAATTAGAATAAGAATTCTGTATTTTTTTTCCAATTTTCTTCCAAATATGGTCATTTATAAGCATGCAAGTAATAGTGGTTATACCAACGCTTTAGGAAATAATTCTTGGCTATCTCTCCTTTTATATGGTACTTCATTTGTCTTAATATCTTTTAAAATGATAAAGTTATAGGTATACATATAAGGTGGTACCAAACACTTTGACTAAAACTAATTTGGCTCGTTTAATTTTCATAAAATTTTGACAAAATATTTACTTTGACCCTTTGACAAAATTATAAAAATTTCAAATGACTTGAAACCACAAACTTTATCGGAAAAATTTCATTGGATATATAGCAGTTTGACAAACACTAATTTTGATCATTGAAAAGTTTAATATTTCCTTAACAATAGAACGTGATTAAAATGTTCAGCTGATTTTTACAGAGTTATCTCCCTGTAGTGTTATGTACCACCATAAATATAACTACCCAAAATTTAGACTGTTGTGTTACCTTTCGTTAATCAGGACTTTATTTTAGACTGTTTATTTATAAATATGAGGACTTTTTGTTCCATGTCTGACTTTTGTTTTGAATTAGTAATTGATATTTACCTTTCAGCTAATGGAAATCATATTTTTTTCCGATTTTGATAAAATCTTATTCCTCAATCATGGTTCAATTTTAACAATATTCTTAAAATGTGAATATAAAACTTGATTCACCTTATTGCTATTTGTCCGCCATTACTTGACATCAAAAATGTTCCCGTAAAATTTTGAAGTCACAATAGAAAATGTTTATGGTTGACATCACAAGGAAAATTGAACATTTTATGAAGTCAATATTTTTAAGTGTTGCAAATACTCAAGTTCAGTGTCACAGATTCCCAAAAAGCGATAAGGTCTATTTATGGATCACAATTCCAAAAGGAAAGTCTTGAAATTATTATGAAGAAAATTTCTTAGTAGATAAATGATGCAAATGCATTTAGAGCCATTAAAAACAAGAAAATATGTAAATGCTAAATTGTTCTTTGATTAACAGTATTATTTTACAGAAATTAAAGCCAGACAATTATAGTTTCTACGCTTCTCATCCCAATTATCTCAAATCTCATGTAAAGAAAAAATTTTCAATTTTTATCAGGAGATTGTTCTGTTCTGTATACAAAGAAAACAAAAAAATAAAATTTCCCAAATTTTTTTAAAGTTGGAAGATAATCAAGTATAAGTCTTGTTTTGCCTGAATCTAATTTATTTACTTGTTTTAAATGAATATGAATTCATTTGTTAAATGAGTTTAAAAAAATATGCTTACTTTAATTAAGGCTACTTCAATTTGATTGTAAGCTTGTATGATGTCTTTAAAAGAGGAGTTCAAGCAATAGACTTTTAACTTGTTAAGTTCAATTTAATTGATTATAGTAATAGGAAAACTAAAATTTAGGAGGGGATATAGAAGCTCTCAATATATTTAACGTTAAAATGAGAAGTGTGATCCTTTGTCATAAATTTTTTGCATTCTACTTTTTTTTTTTAAATCTGATAACAATGTTCTAAAGCCCCCTTTTCTTTGTTTAGAGACAAGAATAAAAAAAGATTTAAAAAAAAATATATAAAAATCAAAAATACATCTTTCTTTTGTAAAATACAGTGTTATGCAATAAGTATTTGTAACCTATAATGATTTTCTATCGTATTTCATATAAAAACAAATGAGTTTGATAAATTATTTTGAAGGCATCTATAGTTGGATTTTAACAAACCATATGTTGAAAGATGTAGACTAATTCTTATATTGTATATTTTGATAATTTGGTCTTTATATTGTTTTCAGTCTTTTTGTTCTTTCCTAATGTGAACATGTATAAAAAAAAAAATTACAATTCAATTTGTTTGAAATCCATTAAGATATAGGGCAAATTTAAGAACAAAAAATAATACGTGTGTTTATATCATCAGAAAGTGAAAACCTTTCAACAACAAAAATATAACTAAATAAACCTGTGAAAACCCTGCTTCTTAAGGTACTAAATCCAACCAAAAATGACTTCACAATATTTTTTTGAAAAAAATATGGTAGTTTTATATGGAATATATAGCAAAGCATTGTATGTACAAACACTTCTTGTTTAAAACTTAATGTCTCTTTTTCATATACTTAGTATCTTTACCAAGTGTTCATCTGTAAAACTATTTTATAGTAATTCAAAGAAGTGAAAAATTAAATTGATGTGGTCTTATTAAAAGATTCAGTTTATAAAAAAGTCTATATTTCCAATACTACACTGGTACACTAGATTTTACATTCTAAGATAGCATTTTTTGTTTTGTGAATTTTTGATATATTATCAACATTAAAATTCAATCAAGTCATGTGTTTTCTCTATCTCATACATCACATATTGCTGGAAAAAAGTAAAATAACAAAAATAACGAACTCCAAGGAAAATTCAAAACGGAAAGTCCCTTATCAAATAGCAAAATCAATAGCTCAAACAAATGGATAACAACTGTCATAATCCTGACTTGGTACAGGCATTTCCTTATTTAGAAAACGGTGGATTAAACCTGGTTTTATAGCTAGCTAAAACTCTCACTTGTATGACAGTCGCATAAAATTCCTTATATTGACAACAGTGTGTGAACAAAACAAACAGACATTATAGGTAAAAATGTCAAAAATAGGGATACAGCAGTCAACATTGTGTTATAATCTTAATCATTATATAAAAACAAACAAATATGTCAACAAAGAAAAACAAAATAGCATATAGACAAAGCAGGTAAGCAAAAATGAAAGACAAGAATACAAATGACCACAGCACAACAACACAATGTGCCGAGCCACGCCAAAAGGATATTACCAAAAATAAACTAAACAGTTAAGGAAATGGCACCTACTGGACCATTCACTCTCACAATGGGTATGATTGCCAATGAGACAACTATCCACCAGAGTGAAACTTTTCAAACGTTAAAACTAATGACCTAATTTATTACAAAACAATTTACAAAAAGTAATATAACAAAAATAAACAAAACAAAAACCACTGAACTACAGGCTCCTGACTTGGGACAGGCACATAAAGAATGTGGCGGGGTTGAAGTTTAAACATGTTTGTGAGTGCTCAACCCTCCCCTTACCTCGGACAATGGTGTAACAGCAGAACATAAGAATACACTGTAAAAATCAGTTACAATTGGCTAAACTCAAAAGATCGGTTCAAGGCACAAAAACAACAAACATTTAAAACAATAGACACAAAGCACTGATATAAGAGTACTGGCAGCTTCTGAAAGCTAGTTCAAAGCCAATTACAATAAACTAATAAATCATGTTCTCTCAGACCTGCCAACTTCAAAATCCCCATTGGGGATTGAAGCACAAGAAGACCTGTTGCATTTGGCAGGTATGTGATTATATATTATATGCTAATAAGACAACTACCGTAAACCAGAAACATTTTTGCACAGAAATTATTTTGGCATTCTCGTAATGCAAGAAACACCTTTTGCGAATTAATTTTTAAGGCAAACATTATTAAGTATAGGAATTTGTCATCGATGTACAATTTCAACCCTAGGGCAAGTATTAAAATCATGAAAATATCCAAGTTAACAGTATCCATTAAAGATGTAAGCTGGAGGTCACTGCACAGCCATCAACAATGAGCAAAAACCATGCCCTATAGATAAAAAAGAGCGGCAAAAGATACCAAAGGTACATTCAAACTCATAAGTCGAAAATAAACTGACAATGCCATGGCTTAAAAAGAAAAAGACCAACAGACCATGAGGTATGGGCTTTGCTCATTGTTGAAGGCTGTACGGTGACCTCTAGTTGTTAATTTCTGTGTCATTTGGTCTCTTGTGGAGAGTTGTCTCATTGGCAATCATACCACATCTTCTTATTTTTATAAACAACAGTACACAAAACACAACATAGAAAACTAAAAACTGAGCAACAGGAACCCCACCAAAAATGGGGTGATCTCAGGTGCTCCGGAAGGGTAAAACTCGTCAGAGATATGTCACATCAGACACTCATTTCATCTACATTAGACTCTTCAGTTCGCCACTCAAATTAAAAAAGTTGGAAGGCTAAATCAAATAGTGTTGAGCATAGCGAACCCAGAATTCTGAAAAAAAGTTGTGCTAAGTATGGCTAAGACCATCTATGCATGGGCTCAAATACAATGAAGTTCAAAATTTTGTAACAGAAAATGACCATTTATAGCTGACTATACAGTATGGGTTTTTCTCATTGTTGAAGGCTGTACGGTTGTCTATAATTGCTTACATCCACTTGATTTGAACTTGGGTGGATAATTTTCTCATTGGCAATCATACCACATCTCCTTTTGTTTATATAAATGATATTTCGTTTCAAAACAAAGTGCTGGCCACTTGGCTGGTGATACCCTCCGGCCTCAGGATGAAATATACACCAGCAAATGGCTTCATAGATATAAGAAGATGTGGTATGAGTGCCAATGAGACAACTCTCCATCCAAGTCAAATTTTATAAAAGTAAACCAATCCAGTTGTTATAAACTCATCAAAGATACCAGGCTTATAATTTGTCACACCAGCTATAAAACTAAAGTAAGTAAGGTATAAAAGGACCCAACATGACAAAATGTAAAAACATTTGAGAGAAAGTAGGCTTGATTTATGACTCTACAACAAAAAATAAATATGGACAGCAACCAACTACAACCATTGAATTACAGGCTCCTGATTTGAGACAGGCACATACAGGGTTGTGGGGTTAAACGTACTTCCTAACTTTCAATCCAAACCTTGGACTGTGTTGTAACTTAACAACATAAGAACAAACGGTAAAAATCAGTTGGAGAGGGCTTATCTGACAGATCATCATGAAGCACAAACATTTTAATAACTTTGCAATGAAATCACAAGGTTTTGAATAAATTAGCTTTCATGGTTGGCCTGGTCTTTGAATGGGAAGCAGATTTTTTTGTTTCGTTGGCTAGTAATGGGAATAATTTTCTATTCTCTGTATTTTTTAGATACCATAAGTTTTTACTTTCTAAGAATCTGCTTTTCTCACTGTGCTTGAAACCCATTAGAGGCCTTGAGCTGTTTTCTGCTCTTTGGTCGAGTTGTCTCTTTGACACATTCCTGTTTCCATTCTCAATTTTACTACTTGCTTTGAAGCTTTTTTTAACTATAGATTCAATTTAAAATCAAATATCTGGCCTTAAAAATTAGCAACTATAGGTCACAGTATGGCATTCAACAATGACCAAAACCATAATGCATAGCAAGCTATAAAAGGCCACACATATGATTTGTCCATTTACTGTCATATAGATAAGATTAGCACCAAGATGTTTGTAGGGTACATCTGTAAATTTATAAAAAAGAAGCACAATCCATCTGGAAATTTTCTATGGCTAAAATAAATTATTTCTGTCTTAGCTGGGTTTTACTTGACAAGCCATTTATTTGCCAAGTTTGAAATATTTAATATCCATATGAGCCATGTTTTGTAGACTTAAAATATCCGTGGATATTTGATTATTCCACAAAAGTGACATCAGCAAACAATATGCAAAGTCGGGGCATCAGTTGACCAGTTTTGTTGTATTAGCCACACAATAAACCTTATGAACACAGTGGTCAGTGTTTTTCCTGCCAAGTACACCTCAACTTTCATAAGAATTCCCAGAATATGTTCTACTTACAATAATGTGGCAGCCTGAAGCGTTCTTGTTGACTGACACATCAGGATATACTTTGTTGTCTTGTCCCTTTTGCAAAGATATCAGCAGATTCATATGTTCGAATTTCCTTTCAATTTTACAATGATGAAATAGTGTCAATTTATTTTGAAAATTATTAACCAAGTGAGTTGAAGTTCATGTGAAACTTTATAAAATCTGATCTCATAACAACATTCATATAGACATCCTTAGAATCTTTTGATGAAGGTTTTAGTGTATCTGAACACAAGAAAGATTGACAATACAGCTTTTTTTATCTGTGAAATGGTTAGTGAATGTCAAATATCAAAAGTAATTATCTCCCTTTAACCACTTTTTGCATCTGAAATGAAAATTTTGAAAGCCTAATATTGCATTGTCAATTTTTTTAGTTGTGAAAGAAAACACAATAAAAATATGTCATTATTTTGAAAAACTCTTTCCAAAAAATATGAAACATATTAGAATTCTCCAGGTCATGACCAAAAAAGAACATTTTACCATGAATATCACCATTCTCTTGTTATATAGTAGATCTTCTCTGAAGAAGAGAACTTTAGAAAATCATACAGAAGACCCATTGGCTGTATTCTGCCATTTGGTCGGGTTGTTGTCTTTTTGACATATTCCCCATTTCCATTCTCAATCTTATAAGGTATGTTTTTTTGAAAATATGGAAAAAGAAAACATAAAAATCTTTAAACATGTATACTGGTACAAATGTAGTATGAGTCCTTCTTTATCTTACAGGATAGTTAAGGTTGTGTAATTAGCATGTGCATATACATGTGCAATTTTTTGGAAGAATGCTACTCTTTCTGTCCTCTTTTCCTCGCATGTGATATCACCCAATACAGTGGCGGATCCAGGGGGGGGGGGTGTTCTGGGGATTGGAACTCCCTTTTTTTTGACGAACAATGCTTTTAAATGGGGACATATGGTTGAACCCCCCCTTTTAAAAATGGTTGGATCCGCCCCTGCAATGAGACTTGTTCAGAGGTGGATTTTTTCAAGATCCTGGATCCGCATTCCATGTAATATTGATTTAAGTGGTAATATAATTTAGCAAAAAACATTTAAAGTACATTTATCACCTCATTTGGAAAAATCAGTACATAGTTAAGTCTGTGAAATTATTTGATGTAACATACAAAATCAAGGAATAATTTTGTACAATGCAACATATATGAGAACGAGTACAGTTTTTTTTTCATGGTGTAAATTTGAAATATTTTTTTTATAAAAAAGGACAGCTGCATGTTTATGTTATATTTTTAAAGAGTTGACTGTCCCCCATATAAAGAGAAAGTTCTGATTTAAAAAAAGACAAGATAGTCATAAATTATTCTTTATCGGAATGTAAGGATGTATTAAGCATTCTAGGTAAATTTTTTTTAAATTCCTTTATATTTTAGCACCCCATTATTCTTTATTTTAGAAGCCTATTATTTCTTTTCTTTATTTGTTTTGTCCTTTATTTTGCACTTTTTGCTCATATTCTCTTAAAACCCAATCCAGACCCTTATTTAATCTCTCTGTAACCCAATTGGTCAAAATAATAGTCATTTTTTTGTTGTACAAATCATTGCATTACCCATAATCCTTCAAGTTTCTCAAACTACATTATAATTAGCTTGACCA